ACAAAATCCAGACATTTTTCTCTGTGTATTATCAATTGGATGACATGTCCTTAAAGGTCTCAAGTCTGAAGTATATATTGTAAAATGTGCAGATTAATACATGAGTTTCATGATATTGAAGAAATTGTTTGACCAATTGTTGCCTCTGTGCCCATAACATACCATGGGTACAACACAATGCATTAGTTTGTATATGTTACATCACGCTTGGTTACCTGGATATATGTGAAGTATATGTGTGTATTGAAGATTCGTTATACATTTATAGAAAAGACTCACATGAGACACTCATCGCATAGAAAAGCATATACTGAGAAAGTGAAGAATAATCCCAGAGCGGATGCCAACATTTTCAGCATTTTTACGTTTTCGTAAGTATAAATAATAAACTACAAATACCATTCGTGATAGAGCCGATTAAGAGAAATAAAACTGAGAGTGAAGGAAATGCGATCCAGAGAAAAGTTCACAGAATGTAATAATTTGATATATAAGATTCAAAAGTTTTCAGTCTAAGAATATGAAAAGTATAAAATGGAACTACCATTGATAATTATGTAGTATAGGGAAGTCACCCTCTGATGATTTTGACCTTAAACATATATTGTCAAGGTCATGAACCTGAATAACCTCTAACAAGTTTTAGCAGTTGCTTGTTATTCGTTAAAAAGTTATTAACAAAAAATTTTACGAAATAACGTCTTACTTCTCGACATATAATATTAAAAACATCTCTCTTTCCCCTGCCTAGGAGCGCACGACTGTCTCATGTCATATGACCTTGACAATGGGTGCATTCAGCAGAAAAGAGCGCTACTAGAGCGCTCGCTGTTATTGGTGTATTCTTTTAAATCATCCAATTAGAATTTTAGATCTGGAAGAATACACCAATAACAGCGAGCGCTCTAGTAGCGCTCTTTTCTGCTGAATGCACCCAATGACAGCGACCGGTGCTTAGGAGCTTTGTAGTCTCAAGCACTGTGAGTGGCTCAAATTTTATACATCGATAGTGCTCTGGAAGATAGAATTTTATGCCAAAGGATTTTTTAATTGGAAAATTAATCGAGATATAAACAATTGATGTCAAGTTTTACGAAAAGAAAATTGTTCTGATTATTTTGTGCCATATTTGATTCTTAAGTGTAATGACGCAGTTTCTATTGATTTGAAAGTGGAAAGAAGGATACAGATCAATTTTGCAAGATAATACGTAAAACGATAGTATAATCTTGAAAATTAGGAGAAAAAAATTAGTATTTTAACGAG